ACAGGATAAAACACCAGTAGGGTGTATAGGCGGATAAAATCGGGTGCTTTTTGCTTTTACTCTGCAATCCAACCTCCCCTCCACCGATTCGACAATTCTCTTCTTTACATCGTCATCGCTTTTTCCGTCTTAACTGCCTTCATATTATATTGTTTACAGTAGTCGCTTCGATGAGCACGAGGGGCAACTAACTCCAAAAATCCCACCCAAGAAATATTCTATACATTTCAACTGTTTTTCGAGCATAATAAACAATTAAGTAATGTATTACGAGAGCACATCTCGTATACGCGTTTTTAATACCATTACACAATACTAGAATGTCGACGTTGTATTTTAATAATATTATGCATCGAACACTTTATTAATCACAGCGTTTGATAAAAAGTATAAAAATATTAATTTATGTAATTGTTTGTGTTATAAAAAAAACATCTTATTTTTACCTGAAATGTACACAATAAGAAAAAGTAGAAGAGTCAAAGACTCAATTGAAGTGAATAACGAAAAAATATAAACATTAAATTTTTAGGCACTTTGGCTACTATTTAAAATTGTTATTGTTGTAAAAAAAATCACGAGGGAGTACTTTGTTTCTTTCGTTTGCATTTATTGTGTATTTCCTCCATTATTATAATTTATGCTCCGGCTTAGGCAATACAAAATGAATTAGGAGACGATATAGAGTAGTAGCCGTGAAATACAATCAAACCTAAGGCCGTCCCAGTAGTGGTCATACACGTGGATGGGCACGTGTCCTTCCCACCCCCTTTTTTTTATTGAAGCCGCAACACGACAGTACACTCTGCCACTCAAAAAACAGTCCACGTGCGTCTTTTTTATTCGATTTCTTTGTCGCCGGCTACTTTAAATAAAATAAAAAAAACAATTGTTATCATACACTTATAGTGTACAGTAGTATTGGTCGACTAATAATATGATTTGGTGGGACAGCAAGATTTCTATAGGATTTTATGAGTGGGGAATGGTATACGTTGGAATAGATTGAGAACACCATGTGCTAATTGGCACATGAGACTAACATTCGCTGACAATAACAGCATAAAAAACAAAGTGTAAAATAAACACACGTCGGTGGTATTGTTTCAGCTTCAGTAAGTCTTCCTAAAGACGAACGAGACACTAATTGTCTTAATGAACTACAAGCAAACGATGCGTTACGCTGTTGTGTCCAACCCTATTTTTTGTCATTTTTGTACACCATTTTCCATAAAGTCGTTCATTTGAACCATATAGTTTATAAATAATATTAAACAGACCAAACTGCCGCCAACTATGCGTATTTACTATACTCTGACAACTATACTTTCTTTATGGAATTACATAACAGTTTAATAATTTTACTAGGTCTAATTTACCAATTTTAGTTTCGTTTTCTTTTTTTGCACAAAACAATGGTCAAAACACGCTAAAATATTTACACTTTCACAATTACTACTTATGAATTAATTGACCAGAGTATTAGTTTATTTTATATATTGATTTTCATATGATTCAGAAAATATAAAAAAACTACTCGTTAGGATTGTTTAAAAATAGTCATGTGCTCTGCCTAAGTCGGACTTGTTTGAAAATTCGTTTTTATTAATGGTTAATGTCATGCAAATAAATATCGGACCCTCAGCATTGTCAAGTGATTAGAATTACTCTACTAGAAGAAGAAGAATTCGTAAAAATCAACAGGCGCCGGCAACTTTAAAGATAAATTGCCACTATCGAACGAGTCGTCCGGTCGGTTATTGTCCTTACATTGTCACCCGCTTTTCGCGTACTACTATTGTGCTTCACGAGAAATTAAACCATAGCAGCGCTTTCCGGAGGTTTTGGGCTTTGTACACCATGTGTAGGGCAGCGGGTAGGCGTGTTTTGCCGTACTGCGCTGGTCTGTGCTATACTTTTCTCGTACAGCAGACTTGCAACTCGCCCACGTCGTCATTTCACCAAGCCGCCCTTTCCCGGGTCCTACACATTGTGTGCTTTAACGTCCGGGAGTACGCGTGTATATGTGCGTGCAGAGGGGGGCACACGATTTCAAAAGTTCGCCCACTGCCTCCCTCGTTCGATCCGATGGCGCAGTTCGGTAAACGATCGATAAAGCACAAGACGCTCGTCTCGGTCTTTCTTTTATTATTTTACACAAAAACGCTCATTCATCCGCTGAACAAAAAGAAAATTACAAAAGCCATAGGTACTTCGTAATTGTGTACATAAAGACGTTGTATTTATCTTGTACCTACATCTATACTTTGTAGTTTTTCTGTAGACTTTGTGAACGCACTTTGAACGCACACCGGACGAGGCGGTGGGCGGCCAACGAATAGAGCCCGTTCGTACCACGCCCCGGGGGAAACTAAAGGAACATTGTAAGGTTTACACCACCTCAGCCCAGTGAAGAGGAAGTGAACGTGGCGAGCAGTGACGAGTACAACGGAATAAACTTGCAGAGAGACGGTTAGGCTATCAATAACGCCCCGTCCCAAGGGGTACCAACGACAAAGCGATCGTTATTCCTTCAAAGCCTTGTCTTAGATCCCAAAAACCCTTTCTTCGTTTGACCTCATCTTTTATCCGATCGATACCCGTTTGGTTTGGGTCCGGATACGGTCAAAATTCCATTCCATCACAATTACATTAATTACATAATGTAAATAAGTATTTCATAGTCGGTATATAATGTTGTGTACCTCTACAGTGTCAGATAAAATACTTGTTTATGAATTTTACGGTAATATCGATTCCATCAGATTTTGGAAAAAAGCAGCAAGTGTACTCTATACAAAATAAAAACCTAAAACTTTGACTCTTATAAGGTAGTTTTAGAGGAGTTGAAAATCATTAGTTAATTATAAACATGAACTTATTTGAAATGTTTCTATAAGATAATTAGACAATCGTCTTGTTAATTGATACTATTCTGTATTCCGAGTGATTGGTACTTGTTGTTCTTTTTCTATTAAATTCTCATATCAATATGTTCACAAGTAGTAATACAAGTCACTTGGTCTACAGATGTATATAAATTAAGTACTATTGATTTTTAAAAAGAATCTCATTATTATAGATGACAAAATGAGGCCCTTAATTTATTTTATCGTCGAGTTAACTTTGACATTTAGGTGTACAATATTTCATATTAAAATCTTTTATATGTATTTATAATCTACAGATTGTTTGATATATTTAATTAGCTTGTCAGTGTATTTTTTTTACGTATATTAATATTGTTTATTTATTAATTATTTGTAATTTCAAGAACAATATTCTTTTCTATAACTTTTTATAAGATACTTTACGATATTTATGAATAAACCAATGGTATCTCTAGTGTAAAATTTTAGCATAAGTCCGTCAAATATGGTACAGTTCGACCGATTCTGTATGGCAGATGTACTAAGAAATAACACAACGACCTCCATTTATAATAAAAAAAATCGTGAAAGCGACTCATTTATTCATATTTCATAAATAATTATTTTAATAATAAACAGGGGCGGGGAAAGGAAAAAATACACGCTGAAGGAACAAAATTAATAAATACAGGCGACTTTGCCAATTGCCGAGAGACCTGGGCAACTTTTAATATGTCCTCGGACTCGTTGAATTCCCCCTGACAACTGTAATTTTTTAATTTTTTTTTCAACCAATTAATTATATAAAGGCGTTGGTTCTACCTAGTATTTATAAACAGTTTTATAAGTTAGTTATTTGCGTGAAAGTTATTACTTCTATTTAGTCAAAAATGATTATTACTCATAATCCGCTTGGTGAGACTATTTTGTTAATTAATACGTCTAATCGGAAAAAAATATTTCACTTAAAATAATTGTAAATATGATTCTATTAATTTGTCAAATTAAATTTTACTTAAAATAATGAATATTTAAAAATGATTATTTTAATTAGAAAAGTTTTATTACAATATAGTTTTATTACTGCCTCTTTTTATAATCATCAATAATAATTAATATTTTGAACAAATAAAGCTCAGACGTTTGTCTGGGTACTGTATACGTATTTCAATGCAGACTAACTACCTTATTTTTTATGATTAAGGGAGTTTCTTAAAATAGTTTGCTCGCGTAAGATATGCTCATTTTACCGAATACATATGAAATTCGCTAGGAATGCGGTGCATTCAAACAGTTTTGCGAGAAAAAAAAATTATTCACTTTTTAAATCGCACGCTCTCGCCTTTTTTGTTTTTTTTTAGTCAACCGCCGACATATTGTTATCTTATCGTTCAACAAATTTTTTTTTCTACGCTATCGTCAAGGGAATGGGTCTAGGCATTATTGTAATTATTGCGCGCATTGTAATCTCTCATAGTGTGCGTATGCAAATCACATGTTGTACAACATCATTATGTTACATTTTTATGAATCAAACAAATTTTCGACCCCGACAACAGTAAATTTATACAATGATGCAAATTGTTTACTAGACGTCCCACGTATCTCATTCCGGAACCAGATACAATTGTGGAATTGAAAATTTCTGCACTGATAACATTTCAAAAGAATGCAAAAACAAATGTAATATTTCACATTTCTGCGCCAATGTCTCAGCCAATCGCAGCTTTTTGCAGTCTTCCACAAACAAGTGTACGGTTATTTTAGACGATTTAGGCGTGGCAAATCCAAGTTATCCGAGTACCCGAAATTTTTTTCGGGAAATCAATAGAAACCACTTTATTGTCCCATAAGACGCCATTGGCAGTTTTACCTTTGGCGAACTTGGCTAAAACTTACAAAAATAATTATTGAAGTTTTTCACGGTATTTATTTTTTCCTTGAACTTAACGATAATCGATAGTACCAAAATTAAAGCCATGACACATTGGTAGGATTTCGATAAAAAATTACGACGGTTCTCAAGGTTAGTAGCCCAATGCTAAACACAAAATGATCAGCTGCTNACCGCCACCGCCCCCACCGGCAGTGGTCATACGCCGGTAACGCACCGCCAGTGTATCACAACGATTCGGTATCGCATAGCGTCCGGTGAGCAGCGGCACACGACGGCAACAGCAGCAGCGGCACCAGTACCCGACGGAAGCATCCACCGCCACCGCCGCCCGCAAACAGCAGTAGTCGGTGCGTCAGTCAGTCGGCGTACGTCGCGTTTATCGCACTTGTTATCGTCGCCGCGCCGCCGTCGTCACCGTTGAATTCGGACCGAAGGCACGTCGTTCATTTTCGTAATACTACCCCCGAAAACTGTTTCCAAACCGATTGTTGTTTTTTTCAACTGAAATAGTGATTTGCGTCGAGAGATCATTTTGTTTACGTCGTCGGTAGATGTTAAATAAATTTTTGTTCGCAATTCATCTTACTATTTAAAATACTTTACATTGAAGACATTCATTAGCGACATGTCAGTGCCAAAGGATTCGGCCGATGTCGTATCGAGCACCCACAGTTACTTTGGTGAGTAAACGCAATTTTTATGTAAAAACCCTATTTGTATGTTGTTTTCAAATTCAAAATTATCGCTAAAATAATTTTGGAAATTTTGTGTAGTAGCGAATTTATCAATTACTCTTTTTATCGCTCGTGGTAACCTTAATAAAATGTCCATAATTGCGTCCTTTACACGTGACATTATATTTTGTTTTTTAAGCAATTACGTTCAGACGAGACATGATGGCTTAGGTGTGAAAGAAAATTGTTTTTCGCAATTTCATATCATCGTGTAGATAAATCTATTATCAATTGAACTTTGGTGATCAAGTTGATCAAATAAAAAATACAAATCTACAGCTGTTCCAATTTAAAATTTTACATTATAGTTTTCTATGTCAGATCTCCATAATTAGATGCTATTTTTAATTTACCCTCATAACAGTTGTAAATCGGTTCACTATTATTGTTTACCAGTCAATATTTCCCGAATAAAATTACAATAACATTATCTTGAATTCTCATTAATGGGTTCAATGACATGCTGTTTTTAATTTGTTTTGTTCATCACAATACAATCTGAATTTCTTTCTATAGCACAATACCTGTGATTAATTTTGACTTAAACGTATTCGTCTAGATAAAATTAATTCAAACCTGACTATCTTGACAATTAAATCATTACGAATTGAGGAATGTATTAATTCTCTTCTAACTGTTTTGAGTGGCACAAAATGATCATTTATTTTAATATTCTTTTGCGAATTTCATTTTAGTCGAATGGACATCGGTATTACTTGTAAATAATCCTCAAATAAATGAGACACTTATCGAATATTTAATTATAATAATAGCTAAACCGATATAAAAAATCGCTTGCAGTACACTGTTGGCGTATATTAACATTGTAAAGGTTGCGTATTAAATGATTAAGTGTGTCGTTTGAATTTTCCCGTTCATGTCGCCCATAAACACAGTCGCTGCAAGATTCGTGTTCTTAGTTGGCGAATTGAGCACAGTGATTTTTATTGAGTTTTATTGTGAGAAACAATGTCATTAAAGACGTCGGAGTCGTTCGCTGTAATCTTAAATTATTTATTTATACATAAAATGATGCGTACAGAGCAACTATGAGCGGCGGCCATTCGTTCATCAAGTTGAGCTTTGATGTAAAAAATGAATTTTATTATCCGGTTTTAATGTACGCAGATCGTGCGCGTTAAAAAATTGAATTAATACATATTTAAACTGAACTAAACTGTTGACGGACGCCTTGAATAATTTTTGTGTGCATTCTGCAGGTCTTTCTATCTCTTTTTATGTACGTTTTTATGTACCGAGTTTATTACAGTTTGTAACTGACCGAAACCGTTTAGCGGCAAGTCCGCGAGCGAGTGCATACGTTGACACATGAAAAGGTTGACGACGTTAACGAATTTCCGGTGTCCACATACACTAACGGTTTGTAGTAAATGCACCGAAAAGTCATAAAAAGAAAAATAGAATAAAAAACACATAGCTCTTGCAACACGAGTAAGAAAAATCAAACGTTTTCCCAGACGGTTCGTTTAATCTCGTTAATGTGATGCGTGTAATCCTCGTTTGATAAAAAGCTAAAAGTATGAAGCGAGTACCATTTTTTGGCGGTTGGCAACACGTTAATATTATGCAACACTTATCTAAACCGGCGTTCAAAGAGGCCGACTGCAGTTGTATTAATGAAGTAGTAATTAATTATTCTAGTTCTTTTTCTCTGTTCAAAAACTCTCGAAGATAGAAAATATCGAAAAACGTGTCAGGTCAAACAATTTTTACAGAGACAGTCATATCGTTTACGTCGAACGTCTTCGGTAAAAATATATTTCGGAAGTCGAATTCTTTTTCATCTTGTTTGACTTTGGAAAGTGCATTCGATTTACATGTTCTTAGTAATAATATTTTAAAAAAGTTTTTACTATGAAAAAAAATAAAAAACAATGTATACGACTTCCTTTTACTATTTATAGAATATTGTAACTATTTATAATAAACGTTTTCCTTCATAGTTTCATTATGTTTGTACTCTGTTGAAAGAATACAAATTAAAGTATATTAAAAAAAGCCATAGGATTAGATTATATTTTTAGCGAATAAATAATACATCCTTTTTGTACTTTTCTCCTCTTAATCATTGTGATAAATAGTTATTGTAACATTATTTGTACAAAACATTTTTTTGGAAATTTATATTATATAATGAACTGCCGTTAAAAATACAAAGTTTTAAAGAACAATTTTTTTTTCGTTTATTTTATATTTGTTCTTCCCGTCTCGGACGTCATCTAAAATAATGTTCTTTGTTTTGTTGAAATAATAATAATGAGAACGTACAAATTTGTGTTGGTGACGGCGGCGGTGGCGTCTGGAATCTAAAATAAAACGTATATTGGCCGTTGTAACTGTTTTTGTTGTCGCTGTGTGTGTTATTACACGACCGATTACACCCAAAACTGTCAAAAACACAAAAATCTTCACCTATGCAAAAACAAAAGACCAAAAATACATTTATTGGCGTATAAAAAAGAATCGCTTCAGCAACTGCCATTGTTAAAATAATAAACCGACCTCAAAATGAATTGCCTCCGCACAATGTTCAGTAATTCGTTTGGCTTGTCATACGAATTATTATTCGTGTGTTAAAATCAATTTTTATTGTTCACAATCATTGCCGCCTGTCGCGTTGGCGTACTTGATTTTGTTTAGGTCCATAAAAATAGATTTACGGAATTTTTCACTCGGCAAACAATTATTTAATAACACAACTGAAACATGTCAGTAACGTAACATAGAAGAGCTCATTGTTCGACGCCCGTGTTGAGATTCCAAGACATTTTTTCTGTAAATTTATTTCGAATAATTATAAGGTTTGGTAGTGTTTGTTTGCCGTTTCATTTTTGGCTAGTACTTTCGATTCGCATCACTCGATGACGTTTTAATCATATTTTAACGGTTGTGTTTATTTATTAATGTCAGGTTGCCAGATCCCCAGCAGACCGGTGCGCCAAGCCCATACGGTCTCGGTGAGATAAGCCGAGTGTCCGCCGAAACACAATCGATACAATTGTTTTCCATTGTGAATTTACTTTTTTGTTTCGACAGCAAGAAGAAACACAAACCTTTTTAATAAACAGTCAATCTACGCAAAACCGAACCGCAGACATCCGTGAGAAACTCACCCACTAACAGGTTCCTTTTCCCCGCAGGCTGTAAGAGCGCGTAAGGGCGATGAACCGTCTGCGTACCGTTGTTTCCAGAAGGATACCATAATAATACCTCGTTGAACCGGAGACTACAGGGACTTAATAGCCAACACATGCGCTACCGTCGAGAACCGCGATTTATTTTTTTCACAATAATGTTTTTCACGCGTCTAGCACCCAAGACGGAAATAATCTACCGCCCCTGCCGATAGATTTACACTGCTGCAATATCCGCCTGTTGCCACCTTGTTGTGCGTTTAGGAATTGATAGGTCGACAAAATTACCAACATGAAGCGTAAAGGTTCTGCTTTGGTCTTGTTTTGTTTTCGAATGTTTAGTTATTGGCAAGTGCTTGTCGGCTGTACGAAACTTATAAAATAATATGTCAATGTAATTAAAACCAAGAGGTCTATTAAGTATCTGAAAGTGAACGCTCAAATCTATTTCCAGTTACACCTACTGATGATGATGAACTATTTTCTTTGGATACGGTTCAACGTCGCGGAAAAGAAGCGACGGCGGTATCAATCTGGTGCGGTTAAAAGGATTAAAATAGAGTATGTGCGTATCCTTTCAATTTAAACAAACACCGGTAAATCTGCCGCCCTATTATTGCGTTTTATTGGTCGTAAAAGAGACGGGCGGAGGTTGGCGCTGCATATATCGCCGCTTCCACATTGCCACCATAGCTGTTATTATTCACGTCATCGTCACTATCTCGGTACGTCTGAAAAAAGATACAAAATTAAGTAAAAAATTGTTTTTTTTTTGTCGTCTAAAAATTCCGTCCCGGATTTCTGTAATCTGCACTAGTTTCTCCCGGCAGCTGAAACATAATAGTCGGAGGTCGTGGAGAGCACGTCGAGTTTTCAAAATAATTCATTGCCATTACTCGAGATAAGTAACGAGCTGCGATGAGGTGGCGGGTGACAGGGACCGGGTATAATGTAACATGGCGTCCATAACAATAACATAAAAATGCGATAATAATAACTATTATTTTACGGGTGTGCGTGAATGTGTTCTTGACTCTTTTGTAATGTTCACCAGATGTGTCATCTCTGGGCATATTGCCGTCCGTGGTGGTACACGATGTACTGTATAATTGTAACGTACGTGGCCTCCGCGTGTGCAGTTTCTTAGAAACAAAAAAAAAACCTTTGTTCTATATAAAGTTCTAATGCGAATGCATAGCGGCGCGTGGATCCGCCATAAAATGTGTAAACTATATGCGGAGGAGGACAATAAAAAAACTTAAAAGCCGTGACTAAACGCGTATATCTCCAACACTATTTTTATCCAAAGTCCGCTTTCTCTAAAGACAACCTTTTTGAGCTAAAACTTGGGCAGGTTACCCTGACGAGAGATATTCAATGATAGAATTTCGCCTGTTTTTTTTTTTTTTAATTTTTTTACGGTTTTCATCCCTTAGATGACTCTTAGACTTCTTTCAAAATATTTCACGTACTTCAATTACTGAACTATTCGTAGAGAAATTTGTATATTTAAGACGATCTTTAACACTTTTAAAGAAACTACACATAAAAACATAACTGACTTTCAGCAGTATCTGTCTGGTTCACCGGTTTTGTCTTTGGTATAAGACGTGTAAAATTAACCTGATCTTGAATGTATTTAATGATAACTGATTATTGTTAACGACCAAATAAAATTTCTATTAACTTTTTAATATTTCATGTATTGAGAAATTATTGGTGTTAACACTACTAAACAATAGTTTTTTTTTGTTAAATTCCTATCGTATCGGCCGAGTTTCATTATCAATA